TCAACCTGACAGTGAGTCAGTCTAGCATGCCGTGCGGCACGGCATGCCAGTATCTCGAAGAATTCGCGAATCATACATGACTTACGCGTTAACTTACCATTACCCAAATGCACGCATTTTCATTTGAAATCGAATGAAAATTTACTCTAGTAAAAATTGGATTGCAAACTCCAACAAGTTTGATAAGGAATCAGGTGTTTGGAGAAAAGCTCCTTCGCAATTTTTCTGACGAGAAGACTTGCAGTGCGAAGAATCGAAGAACGACGGTACGACAAAATGCCTGTAAGCGAAGAAATGCCATGAAAAAACCACGAATTCAAATGAACACCAAGCCTGCAATTGCATTTTGTAACAATGCGCATGCAAAGAAATGTGATTCGAAGCATCGCGTGTACGATGTGTTGGAGTTACTATGTTCTGCGTAACGAAAATTTCTCCGTACGAAGTTTAAAGGGTTCGTGAAGATTTTCTTTTACGAACTGAGTCTCGTGAGGACGAAATCCTACATGAAGATGTGTGATGCGAAGATATGCAATGCAAGGCTAGCTGAAGACGTATTGCGTACCAAGAATAACGATACAAAGTTCCGTCCTGGAAAAGATGAGAAGGCATGACACCCCCCCGCCCCCCCCCCCCCCTTCTTCCCTCCATTCATGCCTCGACAACTCTAATTGTGCTCGTGCACCGAACACAGATTTACCCCTACGCCTGTAGGGGTAAATCTGTAATGTAAATATTATAATAATAAAGGCAGATCTACTCCTACACATTAAACCATCGCCGATTGGTAACGTGTGGGGGATATGTGTCCATATCAGATGTGGATAATTGTAGGCAGCGAGAAATTATGACACCATTACCCACGTTATTTCAAGCCAACCCGTGGTTCGCGCGCAACTTAGTCGCTGTACAAACTGTTCACATCCTGCGGATAACCACGCACAATTTGTGTCGTGTAATGTTTTCGTCTTTGAGATGCTGGCGCTCATCTGGGCCGTTTTTGCTTGGGCTGAATGTGGGATACTGGTGACTGCAATACGCCATGGACATGTCATATTCATGGCTGGTGGAACCTGAGAAGAAGCTTCGCAACCGTCCATAAAGAATTCGCACGCCTTAAACAACCGTGGGCAGGATGCAAGGTAAACACCGTATCATCTATCTGGCTTCAAGCAGCCCAGACGGCGGAGGGGGTGGGGGGGGGTGGGGGGGGGCTGAGGTCCCAACCCTGGTAAAGCATCATTTGACCCTCCGGATTCTCTTGTTATAGCCATGCGCTATTGTATGGCAAAAAACGAATTCAAAACAATTCGAAACGGGGGCAGAGGTCCGATGGCTTCGCACGCCGCAGTAAGCTACTCAGCGGCCGCCTGTCGGTGTGGGGTGGCAAAGTTGCCGGATACGTTGGAAGATTGGCCGTTGTGGCCCGACGCGTACCAGGACCGTGATATAACCGCGACACTCACCGGGCTGCCGAGGCGCCCGGCGAGGAGTGTGGCGCCACCCGACTTCTGCCGGTAGGCGCCATATTGCTGACCGGGGGTGCCTTCCACACTGGTGGTGTATGGATGGTTGCGGGCCTCCTAGTGTTCAAGTCACTCATCATGCTGGAGGCTTAACTTAAGCCGCAGATGTGATGACTCGTCAGCGCGCCCTGGAGGCTCTGTTGGGGCGGCACGCCCCAGAGGGCAGAGGGTGGGGTGAAGACGAAATTAGCCTGTTCGTGCTTTTGCTCCCAGTCTTACAGCATATGTTGCGGATCGTTTCAAAGTTTGTGTGATGCTCTCTGAAATTTGGGGAGGACATTGGTCATGTAGTCGATGGTCGGACGAAGGCAACCATCAAAAACCCGTGTGGGTCGGCAATCACAAAGTGAATGCCCATCAAAGGCTTAAGCAAATGTACGCTGCCAAAACGACCAATTAGATATGCAACGCACGAAGCATATGCAATGCTCATAGCTAAGACATAATTGACAATGCTTGGGTCAAAAGAGGTCGAAGTCGAGGCCTGGCTAATGCCAGATTACCACAGATGCGGCAAATTACTTCATCGAATTAACGTTTCTGATCTCTCGACGCAGCTGATTCTGATCGAGAGTGAGGTTTGTCACGTGTCCACGTGTGCACATGTGTGATCCGCTCTGGTGTGACCCATGCTCATTTGCAGTATACACGTTATGTATGTCACAGGGTTGAATCCGCAGAACCCCAAGTGTTTCCATTTTTTAAAATAAATTTATCCCGAATGGTTTGTATGGGTGATTTCGGATTCAGAGTACCTGCTAAGCATAGCTTGTTGCGTGTACCCCGAACCCACCACCCAAGCGTGCCGTCCAGTTCAACAGCTAATTTTGCCTCCGCCCTTTCGCCGGACAGGAATGCGGAGGGTTTTACGTGCCGCACAATGCTACGACACGGCCGCCTCGGGTCTGGGTTGAGCCTCGTTGGCCAGTTGCCAGCTGGCCTTTCCGTTTCAGTCGGGTCAAACAATGCGCCCACTCTGGGACTCGTACCCAGTGCCGTTGGATTACGAGTCCAGCATCTTTCCCCAAGACCACGGAGGCGGCAAAGAAAAAAAAATTATGTACCAAAATTTTTTAAAAATTTATATGTTTCCCCAAACCTTCAGGCTGAATGCGCCGCTTCGCGTGATTCTGCTGCTCCATTTCCCTCGGTAGGCTCTTCTGTCGTGTTCTTGCCTTTCTCGATCACCAGGTTCGCCAATGGCAGGAACTGTATTACAACCGTGCAGCCTGCCACACAGCTGCCCGCGATCTAACAGTTGGCAGAAGCTACGTCCAACGCGCGGAGAACTGCAGAAACGGTCTAGTTGCTTGCGTGGGAAGACGTTCGGTACGACACCACTCTGTCCATCAGATTGGTCCCCCCCCCCGCGCTCTTCTTGCACTGGTGGGCATCAGTCCGTCGTTTTACAGCTACGAACTCCTGTTCCAGTTGCATCCCCTGCTTTCAGTTTCCGGCTTGATCCCCCTGCGGTTGGAAGCCGGCACCAATGGCTTGCTGTCTTTTCACAGGATCCCATAGAAATCTTAAACTTTGAGTGATGGTGCGTGTTGTCATGAAGTTGGCGTCACTCAGAGCGCTCGAAAGTGAAAGCGATGCAAAAAAGGCTAAAAAGAAAGTTCACTCCTCCGGGAACATCTTTTGCACGCCGTGGGGCCAATGCCTTTCTAAATTTATTTTCGGTCTAGGCACATCATCATTATCGGCACATTTTCGGTTTCGGCATATCAGCGAGTATCGTGATTTATTTCCAAGCCCAGGCCCATGGATCCGTGGATCCATTGTCATGAATCTGTCGGTGTCAGTCAGTACCCAGTTGCTCAGGCCAGCGTAGGCGATGCCATAAGTATCTGGTCGTGTGGCTGGCTGGAAGTCTGGGAAGTACATACAACAGGTCACACGAGGAAATGAAACACTCCAGCCATCTGCCCCGTCACCGACAGCCGTCTGCTTCTGCGAAAGGCAGCCTCAGCCCCTGGCGGCTGGCTGATTACGTGATGTGGTGACGTTCAAGGTCGAACAGAGCGAACGGTCCGTCCAATTACAAACACTTCTCCAAGAATAGCGCCTGGAAAGACACTGTTCGGCGAACACGTGACTCATTCGACGGCAGCTCCGCCACGATGGGAGTGCTGGTTTTTCGGCGCTGCTGGCCGACAATCGCGGTCAACGGACACGCTCACTTCGGTAGTGTTTCGCTTATTTTTTTAGATACACAGCTGTTTGCCGGAAACATTTCGCTTTGATGCTTTTTAAGAATAAGCATGGGGTGGGTAGGTTTTGCTCCGTCCCCGCTAGTGTGCGTGTTAGCCTGGTTACTGGCTTGTGTACCTGTGTTGTATGTACAAACAAAAGAAGCCTACCAGTTTCAAAAAGGCAATGTGAAGTGTTGTAAGGTTAATGGAGGCACTGCAATTCAGACTACTCGGTTATCAGTCCACGGCCTCACTCATAGCAAATCTAGCGATGCTCTCAGTTCGCCATGGAGGGATGAACAACACATGACCACAAACTGCGGAGTTCATCCAACGATCACTTCATTCAGCTGATACCCTATTAAAAAAACGTGCTTGCACGCCTCTAAATCTGTTTAGGCACCAGCCCAATATTGAATTATATTTTGGAACGAAGGCGAAGGTCGGTGCAGAATTGCACGGCGTGGGCATGCGTCCATCGGTCGAAATTGATTTTGCGCCAAGCTTGAGCACCCTATTTAGAGCAGTTGGCACGGGAATAACCAAGCCATGTTATCTCCACCCCGAATGCAGCCAGAAACAAACGTTGGGGGAGCTTCACCCACGTGTAGAATCTTACCTCGTTTGAAATATCCTAAGTAGTAATAGGAACAAGCCCCCATGGTCTTTTACGTTGTCGGGACACGAAGAACAAGGAGTTGACCCCGCGTCCCGTCAAAGCGTGCAGGGAATCCAAACAACACCATCACTCGTAGCAAATAACCATATCGCGACGGGATCGAAGAGAGCAGCATAAATTCTTGAATCTTGCTGAATCAAATATATTACTCTATGCAGGGGTGTCGATTTGTGTTTTTGTGAAGCCCCTGCCATCCCTAGTGCTTATTCAGGCCCGCAGTGTTGGTTTGGGCACTCAGTATATTTACCGGAATATTGTCAAAATTGAGGAAGAACGTAAACATCGCACACTGCTAGCCTTCTTTCGGCATTAAATGATGGCCATGACAAAAAGCCTTCCTTTCAGGAAGGATAACTCGACAAAGGATACAACAAAATGAAATTGACCGCTCACGACAAGAAAATAGGCCAACTGCGTCGAACACATATTTAAGGGAGGGTAGGGCGCTTTGACCCCTCCCCCCAGTAATTTACACGGATCGCCGCCCCGGCCCTTATGATCATGCGTGGGTCGCTCAGGCCTTTGTCACGAGGTGTCCGCGCCTCGCGCCTCAGGGATGTCAGCAGGCCTTGACCCACAGCTGTGTCACGTGACCGCCAGGCGCGAGGACGAGCGACGGCGCCTGGCGATCATCCAGCGTGACATCCTGAACATGCTGCAGCTGCCGTGCATCCCTCAGCGGCCGCCGGACGCGGCGATCCTCCGCTCCGACCCGGACCGCATGAGGCTGATGCTGCACCGGCTGCAGAGCGAGACCCGGTCCGACGGCAGGGATCTGCTGAAGAGCGCGCAGAGCTTCTACCCATCCTGTGAGTCTGGGCAGGCGGGCACGGGTCTGCTGCACACCTCCTGAGAGTCTGGGCACACAGGCACGGGTCTACTGCACACCTCCTGAGAGTCTGGGCACACAGGCACGGGTCTGCTGCGCACCTCCTGAGAGTCTGGGCACACAGGAACGGGTCTAGTGCACCCCTCATGTGAGTCTGGGCAGGCGGGCAGGTACAGGTTTACTGCACCCCTTCTACGAGTGTGGGCGGGCAGGCACAGGTCTAATGCACCCCTCCTGTGAGTCCGGGCAGACAGGAACGGGTCTGCTGCACGCCTCCCGTGAGTCTGGGCAGGCGGGCACAGGTCTGCTGCACACCTCCTGAGAGTCTGGGCAGACAGGAACGGGTCTAGTGCACCCCTCATGTGAGTCTGGTTAGGCGGGGTCGAGTCTAATGCACCCCTACTGTGGGTCTGGGCAGTCAGGCACGGGTCTGCTTCAACCCTTCTGCGAGTCTGATCAGACCGGTTCGTAATTACTGCACCTAACCTGGGAGTCTGACCAGAATGGTGCACAACTGCTGCACCTGTCTGTGAGGAATCTGGGCAGACTGATAGAGCTGCTATCTGTCTTCCTCGGGGGCGATGCCCGAAATGTTCACCGTCCGACCAGCTGGCCGGGCTCTTCTGCCGTCCCGAGCCACTGTGAGATGCGTCTGCCAGCTGCAGTTTCTGTTTATATCCCTGTGTTTACATGTTGGCGGGAGGTGAAGTGTATCGCTCGCTTACGAGAACCGGCGCCATTTAGCACACGCCGTTTTATGAAGCCGCAGTGATGATGGACGGCATTGCTGACCCGTTGCCGACCGACCGCCGCTACGTCACCCCGTCATCCCCCCCCCCCCCCCCCTCCTACGACTGGTGCACTCGCCGTCTCGCTGACCACGCCCGCCCGGCCAGGCGACACCGCAAGCGACTGGCAGGAGGTCGCGGACGCCTTCTCGCTGCCCGTGTTCTTCGACACGAGCGGCCTGTTCCGCACGCTGCCCGAGCTCGCCACCGTCGACATCGCGCAGCTGCGGATCTTCAAGCGCTCTTCCCCGGTGGGTCAACGGTCCACCGGCCGGTCTAGCCGCACCTGATGACGCTCGAGGACGGCCGCGTCAGGACTGCAGGACAACGGCGGCACTGCACCCCGTTGGGCAGCTTGCGGTTCCGCCGTTGGGAATTCTCCTCAATGCTCTTGTGACGGGCGACAGTCTTGATCATGTGATGGATGCCGTGCCACTACGCGAAAGCTGACCATGCCGATCTGCGGCCGCCACGCCGGCGCCTCTGACGCCGGCTGTCTGTTGCAGAACTTCAGGCGGCCCCCCCGGTCGATCAGGGTGGGTCCGTCCTGGCTGGTCGACGCTGCTGTGATGGTGTCCGTGTTCCCGGGCTGGGCGCCGCGCGTCGCAGGTGAGCGCTGCTAACCCGTGAGCACTCACGTGCAGACCGCCTGCGAGCCGAGGAAGATGTCGGCAACGGGAGGCGGGGGGGGGGGGGGGGGAGGGGGGAGACGGAATCTGAAGTAATACTCCTGCGTAACATCCATAGTGTTCCGTCCATCCGGAAGACCTATTCCTGCCCGCACGTAAGTCAAGCCCCACCCATGTCTGTGAATAACGCCAGGCTCTATCCGACCAGACCTTTTAGCCACGCTTCGACGTCACTGGTCCTATTGATGCTACCATTGTTAAAAGCTGTCTCACAACGTGTGGATATATTGTATCTTGAACAGGGACGCAGCTTAAGGGAGATTCCCTTCCCCCTCCCCCTGAATCAAGAGGTTTGCACTAGATGCTGGATAATTTTGCAGAAACACGGTTTTAACTTGCATGACTTCGGGGAGAATTTGATATCCCCTGACGGATTTTGACTTCCTGCCTGTCTGTAAAATGCTCCATTATAAACCCCTTCCATACAACACGGTAGAATTCAGTTCGGGGCTCCAGCACCAAGTTACGTTCCAGCCCCACCACCCTTCGACAGAAAGTGGGCCAAATCCCGCGAGGAGCACATTTGTTGACATACTTTCGGAGTAGGCTCCAGCGTTGTTCACTGCTCAGTCCCCCAATTCATTCTGCGAAACTACGCCCAGCGACGGCAGTCCCTTCAAAGCATTCAACTTCCGACCCACTTTTCTTGTTTCTGCCTTTCCCAGTCCAGAAAAAAGTGCGATTCAGCGCTAACTACAAGGCTGACAACCCTCTTTTCTTCTTTTCTAAGCATGGTTTCTACTTCCATATCTCCACAGAAACATTGAACAGTCCAAGATTTTCAGATTTCTGGACGCCCTTCAAACGTTTTCAATTTTGGGGTAGGGGCGTGTGAAGGTCCCCAAAACTGAGGGCGTCCTCAATTTTTGCCCCGTCAAAATTGCGACGGCACGGCTCGCACCGCTGATTGGCTCCGCAAGAAGAAAGTGCGTAAGAGCCCCACTGTGACAAGTAACGGCGAGCTCTTCGGCGAAGCCATCGCCTGGAATCGCCACGCATCTGCCCTCGTCAAAAACTTCACGATACCCTCATTGGCCTGGCCAGTGCATGACGTGCGAACATGCATCACCGGACACCCTTCTCCCTCTTAACTGTTGATGTCAATGCACCCGTCATATTGTGGGTTCGTCACTGTTTGTGAGTTTTGAGCAATTGTCAAAAAAAGTTTGTCAGTTTTGAGTAGTTATGCCGAAAAAACATAGAACACCGCGAAAAACGAGAGAAGACCGCGAAAATTTCGCTGTGTTGATCATCTCTAGCCGGCTCAAATTTTGTCATATTTAAACAGTGCTAATTGAACTTGGCTGGCCCGCTACTTGCCGACAGCTATGCGAATGACATTCGCTAAATTACTACCGCAAAATCCGCAGTACCGGCCATCTGCAGATTGGTGCATCCCAGCTCCAGGCTAACCCAGAGCTCCACCCTCGTCCCACTTGTCAAGACAGTGAGCTGACTCGCCCGCGCTGAGGGCTGCGGAGGACAGACGATACTTTTTGTATAGCACTGTGCCCAAGTATAATTAATTCTCCATATAATTACGCGACTTGCTGGTAATTGCTTTTGCACGTATTAGTGTGATTGCTTGGATCTTTAAGTTGGCTCGGTGCATCTATGCTTGTGTTTATACGGTTCTTTGTTTTTATTTGTGTCTGCTGAATGCCGTGTTTACCATAGCTTTCTTTTTAATTTGATGCGATATTCAGCATTTTGAAAATAGTTTCAAACACTGAAAGGTTTTCCTGACAGCATATACATATCAAGCAGGTGAAAGGCCACTTTCTAGGTTCCTATGAGACCTGCTAAGACCTCGACGTTTTCTTTCCATTATCAGGGTGAATTTGTAAGCACTTCGGAGCCCACGTTGTGCTCTGAACGTTTGTCGGGAAAAATATCCGTTCAGACTGTCTCCGGCTTTTGACCATCTCAGGGAAAGCTAGAGACCGTCGTGTAAATCTCACCGTGTTAACCTTTTTAACTTTCTCAGACATCGATTTTGGGTTTTTTCATTGGGCACACAGCAAATCCCTGGACCACCTGCGGACCTTCGAAGTTTTCGGAGCCACTTGTCATGCTGAAGTCTTCTCCACCATGAGGTTGTTATGGTGTCCGTGAGATGTCTGGAAGCCTGGTTAGAGGCGTGGCATTTCCGAAGCCCTAGCGTTTTTCCTACTTCGACCTTGGCCCTCTCCAGCTTCCCCACTTCGGAAACGCCTTGACTTCCTGACAACCTTGACTGTCCTCAGCGCCCCGTCCGTCAGTAATGCACACATACTGACGCAACCGCAGAATTGTCCTCGACCGCTTGTACACTCACGCTACGACACACGCACATCCACACAACGCGAGTGCACACAGCCGCCCAATCCGGCAGGGGAGGCGATGAACCGGAGCCACGCGCTGGACACGGTGGTCGTGACGGCGGCGACCGAGGGCTGGCTGAGCCTGGACGTGCGCGCCGCCGTGCAGCAGCGCCCCCTCAGCGGCGGCCACCGCTTCCTGCTGACGGTGACGCAGGCCGACGAAGCCGGCCGCCCGCTGCCGGCGGCGCGCTTCTTCCACAACTTCACTTGCGACGCAGCCAGTGAGTGTGAGTCGTCGTCGCGCTGCTGTGGGCAAGAGATCAACGCGGGAGCGAGCTGCGCGGCTTTGTGTGGCGTTTCTGCCGTTTTTCCGTGAAACGGACGAAATGTTAACCCTCACTCTGATTCGCCGTTTTTCATAACGCGGACTGACAGCGGGGGTGGGGGGGGGGGGGGGGGGCTCAATGCAACAGGCTTTTATATTGTTTGGTCAACATGTAAAATGGCGTGTTTCTTATTCAATTCTGGGTACAGTGATGTATATTTTTAATGTTTTGAGCGTATATGTACGATATGACTTCATTAACGTAACAACGTCGGCCCGCCGCGCGCGTTCCTCGGCGTTGTCGGTTGTCATTCGCCGCCTGCGCTGGCCGTAGGTTGTCACGCACTGCTGTTCCTCAAAAACCGCAATTGCCCTGAAACCAGAAGGGCTAGAAACACGTTGTTCGTGCTGAAACACGCGCAATAGATGCCCCATAGGCTACGGAAACTTTGGGCGCAATTGCGCAACATACCGGAAGGGGTATCGCCAAGAAACTGAGAGGGGGGGGGGGGGGGTGGGGAGGGCGCGTAGAGCCCGCCCCCTCCCATCAGGACGAGTTTGAATTAAGGGTGTAATCGCAGCACGCCAAGGATGTGCCATTTTAGGTGACGTAACGTAGAATCTTTGTCGAAGGTGTTTGCATCGCGACTCGCTTTTCTTACATCTTCTTACTCTATCTTGACAATAACTGTGCATGTGAAACACTAACATTTCGTTCGCACGTTCTGTGCGTGCCAGTAATATTGGAAACCGCAACTAATGCTGTTTGTAACGTATTATACACTTTTCATCACTCGTCTTGTGTCGTGGGCACGCAAATTGACTTGTCCGTAGCTTAACGTATTGTGTCAATTCTGTCTCACTTTGATGAAGTAACAGAAAAGGTCCTGCGTGTGCGGCTTAGATTTTACGTGACGTCATGCAGAATCTTTGCCGTCCGGGTCGCTGCGAACACCAAAGAACGCAGAATCTATCAGCCATAACGTCATGAATTACCTCGATAACATACATTCTTTGTTTTCCATATCGCTGCGAGTGCATCCTATAGCTAACATTTTGATTTTTTATCTCTTTCTGGTTTAGGTGGTGCAAGCAAGGACATCGCATACGATTTTTTTTTTCTTCCGCCGTAGAGTGTCCAATGCAGGCCAGCGGCGGTTTTCACAGCAGCGGCTCTCCGCTCACAGTTCCCACGGGCCCGGTGCCGGGGCTGCTGCTACGTGGCCCGGACGGAATTGAGGACGTCTCGGAGGAGCGCCGCTACCCGGTGCTGGACCTGGAGACCTCGCAGGAGCCGCGGGCCGAGCCGGGCGACGGGCCACCGCCGGCCTGGGACGGCATCGTCCGGCCGATTCCCGTGCCCAAGCCCTGCCCACCTCCGACGGGCGCTCCGCCGCCGCCGCCGACGTGGCGGCGAGGCATATACGGCAGCGGTGCGAGACCTCGTCGCCACGGCCGGCGCCGCAGCGCGCGCGGCGGACGCCCGCGGCGCGACGCCGGTCGCTGACGACGGTATAGGTGGCAGCACCGGGCGGCGCCTCGTCGGCTCCCGTTTGCCGGCGCCAGTACAAACACGTCGCGGCGCCGCGAGAGGACGATCCCCTTCAGAGGCGGCCGCGGAGTTCCCGCTGAGCTCTGAAGAGCGGCCACCTTCAGAGTTCTTGGTTCTTATCCCTCAGCCCACTGTCTGGAGACTGGTAACCTTCGCGCCGCGGGGTCCTCTGGTCCAGCTCTGCAGCTCAAGAGCCTGGATGCCCGCGCGTCATGCATCGTTCAGCTCCCAAGCCCAGCAAAGGGCTCCCACCCGCAAGAAGTGTGCGGAGCCTGCCGGGCGCTGGAGACCGATTGAAGAAGCAGCACGAGTTGTACGCTTGTGCCCGCGGCCACGCCTTGCGTTGATCACCGCAGCTCATCTGGGTAACTGTGCGGAGTGGAGGCCATATCATTTGAATGTTGTTTTTTTGTACGCTTGTGGAACGGAGAACAAGCTGCTGGATGCAGTGTTCACCACGCGTGGAAGAAGCGTCGCCGCTGACTTTTGGTGTGCATGAATAGTGCACTCGCGCTAGGTTTGGATTACTGGTGGCAACCGTCGAGTGCTTAAACAGGAAGCGCGGAAGAGGGTTGTATCCGTTTTGTCGTCGTTACGAATCATATTGCCTGCACCAAGGTTATGCCTACGTCTTTGATTGGGCGTCAGCCAAGCTCCGTCTAGCTTTTCGTCAGCTTTGGTTGAGCTCTTCACCTGAGCGTGGTAATTGCTGTCGTGTCACTTTTTTGTCGTGCGTGTCCGATGTTTTCCTTTCGGAACAAGCATGTGAGCAAGAAGTGTGGATGTTTATCTGCACCGTTCGAAGTTCGAACCGTGGTGCCGTCTGACATGCAGGGATATCCAATATGAGCGAAAAACCAACGGATGATCTGACCTGTGCATATCCTCTGGGGCAAATTCCGGTCCTGGATCTGCCGAGAGCGTGTCAATCGTACTTTCGTGTCCAGTCATGCTTTGGCATGCTATTGTAGCACCTGCGCTCCCGTCCACGGCGTGGGCGTGAGAATGCGTGTACCGCCCGGTGCCCACTGCAGAGCAGCGTCCCGAGTCGCGGCCCCACGAGCACTCAAAACGGTCGCGCACACAACTTGCTTTGCTGTTTCTCCCCCCCCCCCGCACTACCCATCGGACACATTAATAACATTACCAGTAAACCAGTGATCACCCCGGACCCAACAAGCTAATCCTACCCATGACAGTCGCCTCCCCCCCCCCCCGCGCCCTCCAGCAGCAACAGCCGCAGAGCGCACATTAAAGCGGCGACCTTGAATATGACGCAACAAACGCCGCGTGCTGGCGCGCGGCCGTGGCAGAAGCGCATTGACGCTGGCCCGGGTGCTCGTGTACAGTCTCGCGGCGTCGAGACTGTACGTCCCCAGGACATTGGTGCTGCAACAAAAACTGCCGACAGGAGTACTGCGGCGTTACTTCTGCTGTCAATGCCTACTCACTTGTGTGCTACGCGACTAAACTGCAAAGAATTGTACCCGTCATACTTACACTGCTCGAACACATACAGTCATTACCTACATACAACATTACATCTACTGCCGAGACTTAATGCGACGTGAGAGACAAAATGATGATACTGTTTCTACAAAAGCTGCATGACAACACATACATCGAAAACTTACACTCGTCGTTATCTCTGCTTTAAAAACTTATTCAGTCGTTGCTCACACGCGTCATTACCTCTATTGCAAATACATGCGTCATTAGTGGTGCGATTTCTTCTGTTGCTATGATGCTTGCCGTGGAGTGCAAAGTGCGTGGACATCTAGCAAGCTTTTAGAGACAATGAGCAGGTTAGGAGGCTACCTCAGATAGCCAACACCGCAATTAAATGTTCGTGGTGCTGATACGAAAAGTTCTTTATGTACTATCTCACGTTATTTTGTCTACTTGTAGTCTTGGCGTATTAACAAAGCCTATAGCTTGGATAGCAACATTTCAAAGATACGTGTAACTTTTTGAAACATTGGGTTTGTCATGTAGCAATAGAGCCTATAAAAGTCATTGCAGTACAAGTGATGTCGCGTTTCAGTGAACACCGAGCCGGAGTAGCGTAGTATCGTATCCAGTCGGGAACTCCATCCAACCCTCATCTATGATGGGAAGGTGTATGACATATGGCGCAAGTGCCGTGTTTCATGCATTTTGGAACAAATTTAGTCGCTTTTCCTTGCTAAGCCTTCAAACTTTCTTTGCAAAACCATGGCAGTGCACGGTGCGTTTTTTAGAGTACAGAAAAATGTCGCGTAGAAACTCATCCTCGTGGGTCTGTCGATATTCATACTTTGCAGCAGCAAGAAGGCATCGACACCATGAAGTGGCTACCTGCAGTCCAATTTTACCCAGCCTAGTGCTCCCATGTGTTCGCCCCCTCTGCAGGAATTTGGTGGGGTCACGCGCCCGGGTGGCCAGCTGAATACCCTTCACTCAGATGGGAGTCGATTTGACCCCACTGAGATCTCAAGAACTGAGACAGCTAGAGATAATGAATTCACAGAGTGGGTTGGACTGTATGTGAACTTACTTGTGTCAAGGTTCGAGGTTCCTAGATCATGGCCTATGGATCATATAAGTCAAATTTCAATAAGTGAAGGTCAGACCTTCGATTAGTGTCCAAAGGGCCCTAGCCCTCCTCATGCAACCGCTTTGAACCTAGATACCTGTTCCAAGCAAAATATCAATGGTGTTGAATTAAGCTCAGGGATCTTTTTTGACCTCAAGGTCAAGCTGACCAAGAACTTACAAGATTGTTCTCATTTTGCTGAAATAAGCAGAAGGGATTACGCTAGGGGAATTGTTCTGAAAAAAATGTTGACCTGGGTTATTTCAGGTCAGTGGCCTGCTCTGATCTTTAATGCATCCATGGAGCATATATTTTGCGGTATCAGTGAATTTGAAGTAAACACCAAAAATTATATTACCAAGCAAACTCTCGAGCAAAACAGCAGGCAAGTTTTGACCCTGCTTGACCTTCATGCCTGAGTCCAGATCACCGGAATTTTTATAGGTCTTATTTCAGTTGGTTTGTTTCCAAAGAAATTATCTTAGAAATGTATCGCTTTGCATGACACTCAGTTGTCGCATCAGAATGAGCGATTCTCTAGAAATGGCCTTCGCTGACAGCTATGACGTAACTTTGACCTGCCTTAGGTCAGCAATCTTTCATGGTACATCTAATTTGTTACGCCATAAGACCCGCTCTTTAATTGTCAACAGCTATGCAAAGTTTGGCGCGGCCACACCGCACCATCCGGAAATTATTCTGGAAAAAATCGTTCGGGGTCAAACTGAGCCCTCTCACCCGAGCGCCTGTTAACATGTGGGCTGGAGCACTCACCGTTATAGTTGGTGGATGCATTGTAAAAATGTCGTACATCAGAAATGACGTGTCGTTCAACGAACAATGAACAGAATCTACCAACAAGCAAGCTAATTTACCAAGTAGAAAATACAATCTGTTTACCCACCAAGTAGCGTTCAAGCTCTCAGAGCTCACGCCTAAGCACCAACCATCTTTCCTAATGTCAATATCATATAGAGCACTTAAGTTCTATGACAATGCCGCTTGTCTTCGCACTACAAACAAACAAAACTGAATCGCTGTAAATGAGGTTTGCTGGCCCACGTGCGAATTTCTTGCGACGATGGTCGTTGAATGTATGTTGTGCCAAAATTTCAAAAGTGATGTGCCGCTAGACGCATGGCATGCAGGTACATCAGACATGCACGCGGCACGCCATGCGACCTGCACCTCAAACGGTCGACGCGTTCCTTAGGGCAGATCATTAAGGCGTTAGAGCAGATCAGACGCCTCTCAAAGGAGATCAATGATCGCCCATCTTTCTTCCTTTTCTCGTCCATCCAGTTCGTTAAGACTGGCTTACGCAATGCGTTGACATCGCTCTCGAAATTAATGCAGAATCCCCGACTAAGGTGTGCTTGTGTTACACATGCCTTCACTCGTGAACTGCGAGGACCCAAGGTGCTTAGGTTTGTGTTTATTGCACGCTGGGAGAGTCGGGTTAAACTGCAACTCATATCGCATTAGATTAATCTCGCCTGTCATTTTCAGTTGACCGCGACTCTCCTCAGGTGGTTTTGCAGGATTTCGGAGTTGATTTGGATGAATAGCACGCGAACATGCAAAGCTCTGAATATGTACGCATGTCTGCGATCTAAAAAAGGGAATTAATTTTGATGCCAAGGCTGGAAAAACATCAAACGTTTCATTTAGTGCATATGTAATAATTACATGACACGATGATAATGTTTTCATATAAAAAACATTGTTTAAATGTAACAACCGCCAACATAAACGTACCGCTCTTCTGTTTTCTAGCATGGTAAGCTCATCGACGATCCCAGCCAATATGATTGGCTCAGCTCCGAGTCCTACTTGCACGCAATCACACATGAACGAAACCCGCATGTCTCGTCGAAAACCGGGTCAATTTCCGGACTGACCCCGACTGGACACGGAGTTGAGCACCAGTCTGCAGCATGGTCTGCGACTGATCAGGCTGTCGATGCCCCGCTGCTGTCAGTACCAACGCGTCGGCGCGGTCCGAACGGCAGCGGAGTCGTCGCCGTCCGCGCGCGCGGGTCGCCGGCCCAGCAGTCCCCGCCCGCCAGCGGCAGCCGGCGGCGAACGGACGTCGGGGCATACGGCTGCCGCGTTCCCCTCCCCTCCCGCTCGGCCGGCCCCGGTCGGAGCAAGCGCCGGTTACAAGGCCGTATCGTCAGTGTGGCGCGAGACGGCACGCGTGGTGGTCAGTTCTCACACGCCCCGGGGAGCGTAAGGACAGGATCAGAGCGGCCGTGGCGCAGTTGGACTGTTGTACTGACGGGGAGGGGTGAGAGCGTGCTCAGCAGCAAATCCGCCGCGGAACGGCAGCGGCCGAGAGCGCTCGTCGTTCAGAGGTGAGATTGGGAGAAGTGGCTTACTGAACGGCTTTTTCAGAGCCCGCCCTGTTGTCATGAGCCGTCCGCCTGACTTTCCTCTCACCGTGGGGTCTCTGACCCATGAGTCACCCCGCTAACAACGAGGCACCCCTCTGACAACGAGCCACCCCTCCGACATCGAGCCACCCCTCCGACATCGAGCCACCCTCTGACATCGAGCCACCCCTCTGACCATTAGCCGCCCCTCTGACGAGCGGTTGGACGGGCCTCAGCAACTGTGGCTCGAGCCATGTTCGTTCACTCGGTCGCTGCTGGTGGATTTGAATTGGTAGTACATGCTCGGGGCGCTAAGTAGATGCTCTCGAGCTACAGACTAACGCTACCAGTGCCCTGTGATGCATACACTGCGGACGGAATATGCGGATGCACTGCCGTTGTATCCAACGTTATTTGGAGGCCTTGCGGCCGGTTCATAGTTGCTAAAGGACTTGGGCGTTGTGATATGTCTGTGTGCGGTGCATCATGTATCGTCCACAACAGCCGACACGACTTTCGGCTCAAGTTTTCAAGCCCTCAGCACATCAGGTATGCTTTCAATTAGTTCGTTATGTCGATTACTTACCACCGCTCTCAAATTTGTATCCATTAGGCGTTGGCTCTGAATCGCATCCTTTTGGAGTGTTTCGGCACGAGCTGAAACTATACCAACGGAATATGAGCGGTTGGAATGCCCGCCTGCCCAATGCCAATTTCCTTGCCTTGCCATTCCAACTTTTGTGTTCTGTGATGTATGCCACACAAAGGTGTCAGAATGTTTGTGTAATATATGCCATGAAAGCCTGAAACACGCTACTTACGCGCAAGTATCTGTAGACATGAAACTATTAACCCGCGAATATAACGAAACTTTATTAGATGGCATTGATTTTTCCCTTATGACGTTCACCACTGCTGTTCTTTTCGAGGCGCGCTTTGGCTTTGGGAATGGGCGTATCACATAATCCATGTGACGCACCGCCTCAAACTTAAACCAGTGTACTTCTCGGTGACAGGCCCTTGCTCCCTGGGCCAACCATAAACGTTCTTTTCTTCGCACCAGTAGAGGTGCGCAAGGTGGTTATCATGACGACGGTGCTTGCGGCTGCAGCGAAGAGGTGTAGTGTTGTTACAAAGCGTTGACAGCGTAGTTTGGACTCGAAAATTATTAGAACTGATAATTTTATGATCTCTTCACGGTACTGTTGTGCCACTATCCAGTGTTATTATAAAACATAATTAGTCCTGAGTTTTCACTCGTGTGTGTTTGTGTGTGTTTTTTTAGACATGTCATGAAGGTGGGACGCTCCTTTTAAAAGCAACAAATGGCCATAATTATTTTGAGCCGATTTTTGAGCCTAATAAATCCAGACAAGAGCCGCAACTCTCCAAAGCAACATTAGCCTGCAGTCTAGCCCACCCCGCCTAGCTAGTGATCCAGCGCGCAAAAACCCGTCTTGCCAGTGATCCAGCGCGCAAAAGCCCGCCTTGCCGTGATCCAACGCGCAAGAGCCCGCCTGGCCAGTGATCCAGCGCGCAAAAGTCCACTATGTGATAATGCTGATTCACCATTAGCCTGCAAGTATTCATTTATTGCAATATGCAGTTTATCATCCCACCTTAATTTCAGAACTATATACTGCATTATGCATAAAATGGCATGTAATTGTCATCTAATGCGTGACATTGTTTTGCTAACACCAGTGATGTTAGTGGGAGAGCAGCAATCCAAGTACCTGCACAATGGAATTTGTCGTGCACCAAAGTAGATCTTAAACATTGTGAACACAGTTTTCAACTGATGGGGTGGAAGTGAAATTTGTTTTTCACCAAAATGCCCCAAATATTCACTCTTCTACCTCATCTTAATATACCACAGGCCAATGCTTCAGAGATTGCATGCACCAACTGATAGCCTTGCACTGACAGGGTACAAAGTGCTGAATGTTTTGAGTCATGGAAAGTGTCAGTTCATCACTAAGTGCTTGAGCTCAATTATCAATTGACTTTCACCATTGCCACAATGTCAAATTTCTAATTGGAGAACCAGAGCCGGCCCCCTATGTGGTGTTTGCTGTTTTCAAGTGGATATATCATGCAACCACACCACACAAAAACCACATGGTAGCTTTCAAATAATTCACATTCAAAATCTTACCACCGTACACGTTCCATCCCACAACCATCGCTGCGCGATTTGTGCCATGCTGTGTGAAGGCCACATGAAAGCAAAGATGGCAATGATGTTTTGTGCACGAATATATTTGCCCCTCCAGTGACATTGATATTTAGCAAAACCATCGAAAACTTTGACATATTGTTGAATCCCGCAGGAAGAAGAAAACTTGTATGAAACGAATAAAAGGTGTTCCAGTAGTTTTCAAGAACTCATTCTGCAGTTTTGAAAGCCTCAAGACTGCAACGTTCGATCTCTATACAATGCCTCATGAACGTCATACTATGACGTCCATGAGGCATGGGATGATTTTTGTTCATACAGAACTGCACGCAGATACAATTTTGGAAAAATGTACAAGTCAGACATGACAAAAGCCCTTGTGTAGACAAGGTTGAAAAATACTGCCAATGGCAGGGGGGGGGGGGGTCGTATCGTGTGAGTGCCCTGTATTCGTGGTCGCAAATTACATTTTCTGCCAAGATAAACAAACTCTGTTCCAACGCTTTTTCAGTTTCCATTGTTGCGCATTTGATACGCCAGTAACTGCAGGCTGTGTTGACAAGAGAGAGAAGCTAGGGCAAATTGGCCCACAATTTCCCATACATTTCATTAATCATAGATATTGATCGTGATTTGTGAATTGTGGCTTTTGTGAAAAGCAAGAAAGGATAAGTGCACCACACCCTCACAACATTCTAGTGCAATGTGTAGGCACAATTATACTAAGGACCCACCCAAGTGCTGCTAAATGACATAAGGCTATAACTTTGAAAGTTTGGGTTGTTATTGTATAATTTTTGGGTGAGATGTTCGCTTTAAGCTGTGCATTTTGTGTAACTTGGTTTTCTGGTGTAGCATGTCCGTCGTGGGTTTTCTGTCACCGGTTCTTTTGCTCTTAAAAATAAAACTATGTTTGTTTCATGATTGTTCTGTGTTTGGCAGCATACTCTGCATTTGAAATGATCTTAAACTTAAGGAAAGCAAAACATACCTTGTTTTGCCTGCTTAAGTTTTGGACCCCAAAAGCCCGCCGAGTCTGGCCCATAAACCAGCAAAAACCCGCGGATTCTTGCGGGTCAGAAATTGGGGAGTTGGCGGGCTGGAAAATTGCGTCTTTAATCCAGACTAACTGAAAGTTGCCACTCTTTCATCGTCATCGGCCATGGGCATCAATTCCTCAAAATGATTGGGGGGCAAAGTCTTGGACGTCACCATAGGGAGACAGGTGCGGAAAATGTCCCGGATTTTGTCCATTTGTGTTCTAATATGCATGCATGTATATTCCATATGCATGTATTTATGCATACATAAATGCATGCATAAATACATGCATATGTACATACATACATACATGTGTATATAAAAATTCACAACAATAAAGTTTTCACAATACATGTGAGTACCCCAACCGGTTAACACTCAGTTTGTCGACACAGCAAAGTTACATCGACAAAACATATCAATTTCCGTCAATGTATATCAGAACATCAAAACTTCCACTCATTAGTTCCGAAAATGGTCAACATTTCCCTAAATAGCTAAAGCAAATACAACCCTGTTGAGAATGTCCTTTCTCGCTCATTTCATCAGGAACGCGTGTGTTGCAAGCCTGCAACGTTTCTGGGGGACACTGCTCCAAGCGTCTCTGCCTCTGAAGGAAAAGTGACTCTATCCCGCTTTATTTTTAATTCGTGGCAAAATCCCATTTTGTCAATGTCGTGCACAACGCATTTTGAGTATAAAAACGTTGCTAGTTGAGCTGTCTCTTCTGTAGCCATATGTGATTATACTGGTGCACCCATACTCGCAGGGATGTAATTCATTATTGCAGTTGAGGGGCTTCAGCCCTCCCCTCCCCCCCCCCCCACCTTGCGCTATGCCCCCCTCCCCACACTTTGTGAAGAGGGTGGGCCAGATCTAGGGAAAATCTTTTTGGCTTATTTTGGGCGTAGTTTGGCTCACTTTTCGCTGTTCAACCCCCAACTAATTTGAAGAAACTACGCCCCTGCATACATGAGGGGCGTAGCGCAAGCGCGCAGCCAGAATCTTGGTGAGGGGGAGGGGTACGAGTTTGACATAGGGCCCCTCTCCTGATGGAAGGCTCCCTTCCCAAAACATCGCCAGGCATGGCCCACTTGACTTCGAGGGAAGCGAGTTTTTCTTTTCTTAAGATTGAATCCGAATATTTTTGAATGAAAAGATATCTGGCATCAGAGCTCACGCTTAGCAGTGCTTGTTGTGTGAGACCTGACTCCTACCATGTGATCGCGCAATTCCAGCTCAACGGCAAAATTTGGTTGCGAAAGCTTAGCGTGTCGCAATGCTCGGCACGGTGTCCTGCCCTATGACGTCACCTGACCTTTGGCGCGGCCCGCTTCCATCGGCCGCCGGCCGTACCTGTCAAGGGCAAATTCGAGCGCATTAAGGGACCCGGACAAACCAAGCCACGCGTGTGTGGATCGTTAGGTAGGCGCTCTAAGCAACTGAGCCAACGGGACGGACATTTGCTTCGCGATTGACAACACTGCTGCATGCAAGTTGTTTCACATGTTGATTTGGGTAAGGATGGACGCATAATTGAAATTTTAGGACTTTGTTATGGGATTCAACCGTGACTATATTTGCACTCCGAATCTTATACTAGAAAGAATTAACCTACTAGGCTCTCCGTGCACAAACCACACAATCATGGTCTACGTTGAGCAAGAAGTACCAGACGTGCATGCGTCGCATTAATTTATATCGTCCAAGAAATTATTTTTAACGATTTTCTCACAAAGGTCCAGTAACGATACCAATCTGT